ATGACAATGTCACGCGGAGTCAGTGGAAAACTAGAACCGTGATGTAACCTAGTGGTTAAAGCGTTTGCTCATCACTCCGTCACGTCGGGTTCGATTCCCCACATGGGTAAAATGTGTAAAGCCCATTTCTTGCATGGGACAAAGCAGTCGATGTACTACATCGCACATATGACACAGCAATTGCATTAAAATGTCTATTCGATAACCTGTCAGCTCCACCAGCAGGCGTCTGTGCCTACTAGTACTTTTCAGCTACCTACATATATCACTATGATTACCTATTTGAATAGCGTATCCACAACAAAAGCTTGTTTCACCAACTTGTGTTTGTTATCTAACGCCGCACTCAGCACTGTTCCAGCTACATGGCGGTGGTCTGTAAATATTCGAGTTTGGACCAGACATTGAAGTGACTGACAACATGAGTATCGATCTACGCAATTGGAACCGAGCCTGACCACCCGATCCCGTTAGTCGCCTTTTACGGCAAGCATGTCAGTTGTCCAAGACCAATTCTAACCCGGAAGGTTATTTTAATTTAATCCTAATATGGAAGTCCTGCCAAAAATATGATTTCTTCTTCCATAGAGAAAACTGAAAAATAACTCAAACCATATATTTTTGTTATATTCAGTGGCACCAAAACCCTTGTCACCATGGTTACCAACCCTACATATCTCCAGGACCATGCACTCCAGTCAAAGACATGGGGGTTCTATATACAACAATGGGTTGACTATGTGAGTGTCGTCGACAACTTGGCCTTGGAAATAAAAGGATTCCTAAGTCATTAAATCGATATAAGAAATAGACATAAAGAGGAATATAGGTTCTAAGTGATAACTGACGACAAAGCAGATGAGGAACTGGTGTCTAAGGCACTAGAACTCATTTGTTTGAGTCCTTTAGCCTTTCATTACTGTCCTATTTGTCGTTGGTTTGAATCCCATTTCTCCCCAAATATCTCTGTCGGCACAATACCCCATAATCTTGTATTTCACCAGCAGTTGTAAATGTCTGTAACTAGACCAACCCACAGATACAAATGTACGTGTAAGGAAGTTATATCTGGATATATATATATATGTTTGACATATTTTTGTCGCATTGTAATTGAAACTTCTTTACAGGTCTGAACTGAAGTCTCATCATCAAGATACATTCCCCAACAACGTTGACGCTGCAGCGGAGCTCGCGTCGCTGATGATTCAGAGTGCCAAGAACTACACAGGAGGACCTGCATTCCCCTCATATTTGAAGTCAACGATGAACCTGATTGGGTCAAAAAGATTACTGACCAACAAATATCATTAAATATAGTCTTCCGCAAGGCTAAAATCTAGGTATGGAATAAAATAATGTCCGAGCAACATATACCAGTATGGCCTTCAGAGAAAAATAACTTCAGCTACTGGAAAAGAACTCCTAAGTTCCTGGATATGTCTCTCGATCACTTGGACTTTTTCTCATACCACGCCTACAACTATGTGCATGTATTGGGTGGAAGTCACACCATCTGTGGCATCAGCGAAGCTCGTCTTTGTTGCTTCTATTAACATAGCAGAGAATTACTTTCATCTTAAGAGAGAGGGGAAAATGCTCAGTTAGTTGTCAGTGAGTTTGGAAGAGGTAGTGTGTTCGGAGCTGCCTCCGATTTTGAAAATGAAATGATAGACTTTGAAACTATTTATCAACCAAACGGCTTCATGTTTACTTTCCTTAATCCGGCAGAATTATAGTGTTTCTCCACTCAAAAGAGCAATGCTCGGGTCGTAATGAGCTTCGATGTTCTTTGTATACCAGGGATGGATACCCCCTTCAAATGACCAAATTCTTCACATGTGGGCTAAACTTTTATATTTCTATTTCTATTTTTAAATTACCATTTCGACATGTCTAAGGTTCACGGCTGCGTTTGTCTCCCATGATCAAGCTGTTTCTAGAGGTTTAAAACCAACTACAACTTTGGCGGAATACGCAGGACAACTAGAACACATACTACGGCAAGGACATGATCATCTCCATCAACACCGGACATGCGCAGACCACCATCCATCTACCCAGATCTGGCTACCACTCTGAACATCTTAGAGTGGAAGTTAGCTAGGACAAGAATGCCAATGCAACTCCCCATGGAGGTATGATTAATGGCCACACGTTGTCTTTAAGCTACATGCTGTTTGATGTTATAAAGATTGAAGGGAAAAGAAAATGGTACTTTTGAATCCACACAACAAACACCGTCAGCATGACCTATAATGGAAACGGTGGTCGCGTGTTATCCCTCACACTCGTCGATTAAAAATTCAGTAGATAAAATTCTTTTTAAGAATATTTTGTTTGTTCTGATTTAAATTCGATCTGACGAATGATAAGATGATGGAGATGTTTGTTGATGATACAGACAGATAGGAGCACGAGGCACACAAAAATTGATCGTACATGTATGTATACAGTAGGTTGTGGTTGTAGTAGTGGTTTCGGTAGATTTCCGTTTATCGGCAGATGAAAAAGTGCCAGCAGACAATGTTGGCTTTAGTTTTGTGCAGATTTGGAGGTTGTTTTCGATTTCTACCTGCAGCGGTTTAGGCACTGTCAATATGGCGATATATCCACAGACGACTTTAAGTCAACATTATTCAATAATGAGTAAAATGTGACTTTTTGGACAAAAAATGACCAGAAGAGAACCATAGTAGATCAACTGAGTAGATGCCTCGTATCGTTTGGACTTCAAAGTCAGTAAACGGCTTTAATAGGACACAAATACAGTCAAAATAGATTGAAAAAAACTTTCATAGCTAGACCAGAAGAGAAAGGACCTTCAGAAGGTAGTAACAGGCGATTATTTCTTACCAAATACAAGCGTAATGTATTATACGACTACATGATTAGCCGGAAGATGCCTGCTTTCGCAAAAGATAGTATAATACTTTTTGTATGCACAGAAGATATGCGATACTTACATGTGTCTTAAGACGTAGCATGAATTAAATGACATGGCAAAACGAGTATTTCGTTCTCCAACTAATGCATAAATCCCCGTGCAATGTTGTATATACAGTATATATATATATACTACTCACACACACATTATGGGAACACCAAAATATTCTGTTATAAAAAGGAACATTTAATGACATGTGATCGTGTCATTACAATTGTGCATTAGCAGATTATCCAGCTTTAAAACAAAAATATTTACAGGTAGTTGTCATTGAAAAGCACACACGAATAAGTCGAATAAGAAAGTTGGGGTCAAAAATGGAAATCACAATGTCAATAGCGAGTGTGTCCTCCACGTTGATTGATGCATTCGGTGCATCTTCGCCTCATGGATCTTGCAAGGGTGCGAAGGGTAGCCTGTGGAATGCTTGCCATTCCATTTGGAGCCACTGAACCAGAACCTGAAGAGCTGGTGCAACTCCATGATTGTCCCTGACACGTCGTCCCAGAACATCCCAAAGATGCTCAATTGGAGCCAAATCCGGTGAATATGCTGGCCCCTGCATCACAGTCACATTGTTCTGTTGCAGGGAGTCTCTTACGACTCTAGTCCGATGTAGTCTGGCATTGTCATCTTGCAGGATTGCTCCTGGACCAATGTTGTTCAACTGTGGTAGGACAAGAGGGCGCAAAATCTCGTCACGATACCTCACTCCATTCAAATTGCCTTGAACAAGATAGAGAGGTGTTCGGTGATGCAAACTGAAGCCTCCCCAAACCATCACAGAGCCACCGCCAAACCTGTTTCTTTCTCTTACAGTGGCATCATCATAACGTTGATGATAACCGTCTCATAAGCCTTACCCTTCCACCATTATGCTCAAGACAGAAACGGGACTCGTCAGTGAAGAGAACTCTGGACCATTGTTGATTATCCCATCTCAAATGTGCCCTGGCCCAGGCAAGTCTTGCAGCTCGGTGATGAGGACACAGATGAGGACGTACAGCTGGACGACGTGACCTTACATGAGAAGCTCTAAGGCGGTTCCTGATGGTCGATACGCTCACGTTGGTGTGTGTTGCTTGTCGAAGTTGCAGATTCAAAGCACTGGCTGTTGTGAACCGGTTCCGAAGGGCTTGCAGCACAACGTATCGAGCATCTGCCCTAGATGTTATTCTGGGTCTACCAGAACGCGGTCTGTCCTGCACTCTCCCTGTTGTCTGGAACCGTTCCCTCAGTCTGTGAATGACAGACGGTGACACTTGAAGACGACGGGCAACATTCCTTATGGATGCACCATCTTGTAGCCACGTTATGGCCCTACTCCTGTCGTAAATGCTTAACGGTCTTCGCTGGGGCATGTTTAAGGAAATGTGTAACTTCACAGTATCTGAAGCTACTTTATAAAGAAAAGTTGCCCCCAACTGCATGGGAATTCTGACTTTCACGTGCACTAGGTTGTTGTGTTTTGGCGTTTGAATCTGACATGGCGAGGGAGTCTTTCTGCACCCAAGTTTTTTCCTGTTTTAGCATTTAATCAATTTGACAAAATTCTTCAAAAAATGAAGCACTTGCAAAAATGCATGACTCAACACGTCATTCAAAGTGCCCTTAGTGCACACAAAAAGTTGCATTTACTGAAGTGCATAAATGACCAAGCCACGTTAAGTTTTATACATGGCTATGAAATTCAGGGGTGTTCCAATAATGTTTGTGTGTAGTATACATTGTCAGCCTCTTACCTATTATAAGAACAGTCAATGTGTTTTTGAGCTGCTTTGAAAAGTATGAGTGAGTGAGTGAGTATGGTTTTACGCCACTTTTAGCAATATTCCAGCAATATCACGGCGGGGGACACTAGAAATGGGCTTCACACATTGTACCCATGTTGCAACGGAATGGATTTTTACATTGAAGTATTGTGTTGATCAAACCCTTTTTTAAAAAATAGCGACTGTTCTCCAAGTCCTTCCAGTTAAGGTCCAGACGTTGTTACATAAATCTTGAATGTCATTGTAACCCGATGTAGGGTTGTAATTTGCTCCAAGAATGGTCGCACACTACGTTTTGAAAACGTGGGTTTGAATGAAATATTGCTGAGACTAATAGGCTGAAACTCGGGTGAACCCTTTAACTAAAACCACAGGATACAAAGTGTGACATGACAGTGTCCAAGGGCGTAAGTTTCGGCCCTCGGATGGTAGCTCAGGGTGATGACGGATGACAAAACTCAGGGGTGAAGTTTAAGCCGACAGCAGCCATGTTTATTGTTGATGGTTTGGAATAAGTCGAAAAGGTACATGTTGATAATAACGTGACAGAACGCACACCGGGACCGAGTGGCCAATGTTCCCGGGTGGAGACTTGCTCTGTCACTTACCTTCTGCTGCCTCCCTGACTGACCATGTCAGTAGGGTTTTTGTAGAGCAAGGTATTACATAACGTGTGGCAAGGTCATTGCCCCACGTGTATGTATATACGTAAGATCCGGCAACGTAAGGAGGTGTTAATTTAAATTTATAGATAGCGCTGGAGATTAAGGGTCCTGCCCGGAGGGGCTTATGATAAGAGGGGATACGTCGAATGTTTGCTGAATATATTAAACAGACAAAGGGCATAGAATTTCGGTGCACTTGGAAACATTTTGAACCAGTTAGGTATTTAGATAAATAAAATGTTAAATAAGTTTTGAAATGGTTTGCACTTTTTTAAATACAAGTATTGAAATGGTTTGCACTATAACAATAGTATGAACACAGTGCCTTGAACGTCTACAATACATAGTTACCATGTATTTTACTTGGAGGAGATGCTGGTGGAGGACACTACGTATGTGTTTTACACAGGTATTTCACACAAGAACGGGCGTCCCCAATAGCAATAATAGCCCCTGGTAGACAATGCATGTATGTATCCGCAACTCGAAGTGAAGGGGCCAATTATTCCGGGTACGTAGGTTGATCCGTCAGTCCAGGTTTTGGAGCCACCATCAGCTTTCAGACCAATATGCGCTGCCAAAAAAGGTGCATCATGATTAAAGTTGAATCCGATAAGCAAAACAAACATTTCCTATCTGACATACCTCATTGTAACATGGTGAGTTGGTGGGGGGATGTAGAAAAACTTGAACTTGATCACTCATTTCAAATCTCTTGATTATCAAAATTGTTAACAAGAGATGGACTCTTTGAACAAACAAACAGTTGATGTACGTGTATGAGGCTGTGGAGGTTCATAATGGGTTTGACTGAGAGGCCGAATAGGTTCACAAGGAAGGGGGGGGGGGGGTTAAACCTGTTTTTTTTATGTCAACCTAAACTAGTTCAATATGTGAAGGAGAATGTCCGAAAACTTGCCATTAGTTTCGCACGTGAAGCAGGTTGGAGGCCGTTAGGCCGACAACCTGCTTCACGTGCGAAACTAATGACGAGTTTTCGGACATTCTCCTACTTAAGACAAACTCTCTCCAAAACTGTCCACCAAACTAATGTACTCACATAATTATCATGCGATACTAATGGAGGTCACGTGTATCATCACTTCTTCGATCAAATGACTATGATCGACTCGATGAAACGGGGCAATGCACGTGCTAAACTATTGGAGGACCACATGCATACGAGTCGTGGAAATTTGGTCAAGCTTTCTTTCTGTGACGACCGTATGGGAGACAACATGTCGGATTGTGGTGATGAACTGTTCGTGACTCAGAACACCTTTTGTAATCAGTCTGATGTGGTTGTTAACTCAGATTTTGAAACATTACTTTATATGGATAACTTTCAAGAAGATTTTTGTCAGAATTTTGAATTAGGCCGGTTATTTTCTGATGAGAACACTGACACTGAACCGTATAATACAACTCAGGATAACTTTGATTATAATTGCGACACCGAACTATACTTGGCAAGTCAGATGATAGAAGAATCAGGAATTATTGGCACACGTGTGTCTGAGAGACAGTTAAATTCCGAAATACTAGATTCGTTAAAAGGTGACAATGAACGTTTTTAGAAAGCCGTACAGGTTACGCAGTTGGGAACCAATCTAGACAATGAAAAGCTTCGGTTCGGTACTCCCCTTTCTGAAACGGATATGGTGCATTTGTGCGATTCGGCATACTCTGTGAACACTGAACATGAGAGTAGATGGGCTTTGAATATTTTCAAGAATTGGGTTGTTGAGAGGTAAAAACGCAGTAATAATGAAATTCCAATAGCAAATCAAAACATAGTGTCGTTAGCTGAAAACGAAAATGATCTGAACAGAACATTGATGTTATTTCTGTCGGAGGTTCGAAACCAAAAGCGTGAAGAGTACCGCGGCAACACTCTGTACGAAATTGTGTCTTCTCTTCAATATTACTTAAGAAGGAATGGGGTTGTCGTCAATTTCTTTGAGTCATCTTGTTACACCGGTATGCGATCCGTTCTTGATGCAAAGATGAAATTACTAGCTCGAAAAGGGATAGGGGTTGAAAAACGACAAGCGGATGTCATCACTGAACAGCAGGAAGATGTACTTTGGGAAACAGGTATACTCGGAGAAGATACACCACGGAAGCTCTTGGACACCCTCGTCTATTTAATCGGGTTGAACTTTGCTCTTAGGGCAGGAGATGAACACAGATACATTGTACCTACGCAGTGGTTCAAATTCACAGTTACAGTTGTTGATGTCAAGCAATGGCGTCAAACAATTGAAATACACTAAGGACATTTCCAAAACGAACAGAGGGGGGCTGAAGCACAGGAAGGTTGAAAGGAAACACCTGACAATCTCTAGTAATGAGGAAAACCCTGGAAGATGACTCGTCAGACTGTACGAAAACTATATGTCTTTAAGGTAAATATAATTCTCTCACAAGTTCACAACTAATATTGTGAAAAGGAAGAAGTAGTTCCTATGCGACGTTTCTGTCTGCGAGTTCTACCTGTCTGTCAGTCAGCGAGTTCTACCTGTCTGTCAGTCAGCGAGTTCTACCTGTCTGTCAGTCAGCGAGATCTACCTGTCTGTCAGTCAGCGAGTTCTACCTGTCTGTCAGTCAGCGAGTTCTACCTGTCTGTCAGTCAGCGAGTTCTACCTGTCTGTCAGTCAGCGAGTTCTACCTGTCCTGTCAGTCAGCGAGTTCTACCTGTCTGTCAGTCAGCGAGATCTACCTGTCTGTCAGTCAGCGAGTTCTACCTGTCTGTCAGTCAGCGAGTTCTACCTGTCTGTCAGTCAGCGAGTTCTACCTGTCTGTCAGTCAGCGAGTTCTACCTGTCTGTCAGTCAGCGAGTTCTACCTGTCTGTGTAACGTAATGTGCACCTGATTAACATATTTTGGATGACTTTACCTTACATTCTAATATTCTTATGCACTATGTACTTTATACGAGTCAGCTGCATGAATTGATGACAGTTCACTTTGTTTCAGACCAGTACATGGAAAGTGTGACGCCTTCTATTTGCGCCCGTTACGATACACTGCAGGCAAGGTTTGGTTTGCTGATGCGGCCGTTGGGATTCATCCACTCCGGTCAACTGTCAGCCGTCTCTGTAAGGCCGCTGGTTCAGCGGATTTGACACAAATCACAAATCACTCCCTCAGAGCTACAACAGCAACTCAGTCAGTATTACGACAGCGGAGTAGACGAATAGCTAATTGCCGAGAAGACGGGACATAAATCGGTTGCAATTAGAAGTTACACGGTATAAACTTTACCTATACGTTTGTGTATTTCCCACAATTCTTAAATGTGGTATATGGCGTTTTCTAATCTGCTTGTAGTTGCAACATTACCGTGGATGTTAGAGGACGCGATAATGCATTTTGGCAATCGCCAGACTTCGGATCAACATCCCCGGGGTTCGAATCCGAAAATAATATTTCTATATATTCAGAGGTCACACCCAGTGTCAGTATACTATATATATCTTGGAGCTGCAATTTTTTGCGTTACAAGCCCGTTGTACTACTAAAACTAAGATGACGTGGAAATAAAAGTTGAATTTTGATATAATGCAAAATTAAATGTTTATGTGATATAATCAAGCAAAATAAGCTTTTCTTTTATCAGAGGACATCCAAGGAAATGGCGGATACAGTAGACTCAATCGTGCAGAGAAAATCAAGACGTCCCAGTGCTTCTGTAACTGGTCCCCCTGGTATTGACGCCACTACCTTTGATCCGCCAGGCAATCAACCATCGACAAGACCGACACTGGGCCCATCAAAAGGCGAACAGGCTCCCTACACTAGTGACAGACGCGATTTCACAATTAAACTTGGTGACGGCACAACATTTTCTGTGAAATTTTGAATTTGTGTTAAGCATAAATATTTGTGAAATCATTTGTTTTGTTGTCTTTGTCTTATAATATACGTAGACTGTCAGTTTGTCTCTCCCGAAACGAACCTACCACCTGCATGGGCTGACCCTGTTGACTGAAAACGCAGAGCTTGTGCGTTACTAATGTACTGTAAATTATTCAACTAATGGAGGTTGAACTATTGGAGGTTATCTGTAAATTATCTCAGCAATGGAGGATGTCGTCCACTATTGGAGACCTCCTAAAATGACTAATGTTCATGTAACTTTGTTTTAATTCTCCTTAATAATAATTATCTAACTTGCAATCGCCTATTTAAATGACAACATATTTACGAGCTAGGTCAGGCGACACTTGAGTCAGAATGTAGGCGTGTTTCTCGTCTGTGTTGAGGATGATCAGGCGGCCGCCTTCACTCTGACATCGGGCCTGACTGTCTGTCCAAGTCAAGATGGTCGTGTAAAGCTTGTAACACAGGCGTGGGGACAGCACTGACGTGTAGCCTTGAGACACGAGACACGGGTCTGGATGTGGCAGAGCTGAGGATATAGACAGTGCTAGATCAGTGCTAGATCATAACTTATGACTAGATAGTATGAATGAGCAACATTATTACAATTGTAGCTATATTTGATCAGTTGATTTGAAGCAGTTGATCATCTATACTACCTTGATGACAGATACATTGTTACGATTGTAATAAAGAAGTTGGTCATCTATACCATCTTGCCTGGGTAGTATCATGCTCAAAGATAGTGATAGATCATGACAAAATATATCCCGATTATTCTGTTCAACCACAGGACAAATACATGGTACAAATCCTGAAATGAGTCAACCTAATTATACTGGCAATCATGTATAGTGAGCTGAGTTTTTGTGTGTGCAATAGATTCTAGGAAAAAGACCAAAATGGTATATTTACTAAGATCATTTGTGACAATCATGTTGAGTCCAAATCATGATGCCCTGAGCTATCATTATTACATTTGTTTGTTTGTTTGTTGTTTAACGCCGCACTCAGCAATATTCCAGATATATGACGGCGATCTGTAAGTAATCGAGTCTGGACCAGACAGTCCAGTGACTGGCATCATGAGCATCAAGCCACTCAATTGGGATTGATGACATGCATCAACCAAGTCAAGCGAGCGTGACCACCCGATCCCGTTAGTCGCCTTTCACGACAAGCATAGTCGCCTTTTATGGCAAGCATGGGTTGCTGAAGACCCCGGATCTTCATGGGTCTATCATTATTACCATTATTACCATTCACACAACATGGACAAAAATGACATTGACAATATGGCTACAATAATTATCGCTATCACTTTGACTGTGTTCAATAGCTGGGGTTACTTGAGCACACTTTCATTGCAATATGCCTTGCAGTGAAGGTTAACCTCGGATAAACGGACAACCAGACAATCGGATGACAAACATCGCGTAAGGACTAAAGGTCACTTGACATTCAGGTGACCTAAAAATTCCAAACATAAAATTAAGTCTATTATTTCTAACCTCCTTTCTTGATTAAACTTCTTGCGCCGGGAAGGGAAACACTCGAAGGAGACAGGGATGATCTGTAGATGGAGCACTGATCACCATGATGCATCACAGCAACACAGGCCTCATCCCTGGCACAGACGGTGGTACAGTCAGGCATACTCTCCGACTGGTTGATGCTGGTCGGTGTCTCACTCGCCCTAAGGTTGTCCAGAGGGATGAGTCTTGCATACACATGTCTGGAAACCACAGAGTTCTTTGAGAACACCACTTGAAAGAAGAGGAATGGGGTTATCAGCAGAATCATTCTTTGTTCTCTACTTCAGTTAGAATCAACAGTAAATGAGTAACCTATCTTTGTGCGGTCAGTGACGGTTTTCCTCAAACACTACTTCCAAGTGCTGCAACCTATACTCATATTTATACAACCTTCCCATATAAGTATTGATCAGCTGATTGGCCAATCACGGCATCGTGCGTAAACACTTTGTTCTCACCACATCACTTTAGTTAGACTTTTCGACCAGATACAAGGGACACTCTTGATATAAGACACCTTGAGAAGTATTGTTCAAACCCGCTAAGGTTCTGGCTAGTATATGGAAAACGTAATTTCACAAAAATGCAATTGTAAGACAGATATGAAAAGACAAATACTTTATTGCAGACATATCAAGAGAGAAGAATCGATAACTTAAGCGGGTTATTGATGGTTTCTAGTGCCTTAGACACCAGTCATTTTATAAATAAGTTACAGCATTAATGAAAGAGTACAGTGAATAGTCACTGATGCAAACATGAAGCTTCAGTTATCTTCCAGTTTTCTTAACCCTACATCGATTCAACAATGAGTCAATCGATAGATCCAACGACTGCCTTCTATTAACTCCACATTAAGGTGCTTGGTTTCTTGCAACACAAAGGATGCTAGAAGGAAACTTCAGCAACACTAACACTCATGAGTTTTTCATTTTGAAATAGCTTCAAGTCACCTTTGAAATCTGTGTTACTGTCATGCTTGGTTTATGTCCAATACTTCCTAAGGATTCGCTTCTGAAACGTGTTAGAGGATCTCCTTTTTGTTTTGTAGAAGTGTGTTAATACTTTATGAATCAACTGCTTAAAACAAAACAAATATTTAATGTAAGTCTAATGTTCAAATGTCCTTAAGAGATGATGCTTTGAACACAGTGGAGGAAGTCATGTATTTTTCTTTCAACAGAAAAGCCATGTCTATATCATCATAAAGTGACCCCATGTGTAACTGATTGTTGGTCTAAATTCATAAAGTTTATTTATACCTACTTGTTTAGCATTAGATCTGGAAAACCATCTGATGACAGGTGCATAATCACTGTCTGAAATACGAAGGGGTTCCACAGAATTGTTGAGTTCTGCCTTTGCTGCAGATTAACAATGATCATTATGCAGCACTATCACTTCGATTACAAAGTAAAAGTGGATGTTTACATATTGTGTGAGAGTATCATATCATAATATTACAAACTGTTTATATCTAAAACGTTTATTTATATATTCAAGAGCTGTTAAAATGGTTTCAATTGAATTGTTATCTGGTAATCTTGATTGGGTTCAGTGTATGTGTCACAAGGGACTGTGCGTCCATCTGAAAAACTAGTTTTGTAGATAGCATATGTGCTTCTTAAACGATTATATTCTTATTGATACTGTAGTTAAGTGTGTTTCAATTTTGACTAACAGACTCTAATACAAAAGAGTTGACAAGGGGTTTCCTATGTACACAGACTAGCAAACCAATAAAGCCATAAAGCCATATCCTCATATTTATTTTATTGTTGGTTGGTTGCTGGTTGGTTTGTTGTTTAACGCCGCACTCAGCAAAATTACAGCTATTTGACGGCGGTCTGTAAATAATCGAGTCTGGACCAGACAATCCTGTGATTGATATCATCATCCACATAATTGGGATCGATGACCTAGTCATCAACCTAGTCAGCGAGCCTGACCACCCGATCCCGTTAGTTGCCTTTTACGACAAGCATAGTCGCCTTTTACGACAAGCATAGTCGCCTTTTACGGCAAGCATGGGTACCCCGGATCTTCACATTTTTTTTATTGGTTGTAGTGTGTGTGGGAAGAATACACGGGAAGAATACACGAGGAATTCTATCTTCAGGAGATTCGTATAACAGATTTATTAAACAATCGTTATTGCTGAATGCCGAGACGGGTATACTGTATTCAGTCCAAACACATCTCCTAAAAGTATCCATAATGGCCGCATATTAAATACAGCCAGTCCTTTCAAATCTGAAAAAATATTGAACGGTTTCTGAGTTATGTTCCGGAAACGTGACGGACGGACCGACGGACGGACCGACGGACGGACGGACGGAGCCCGTTTCTATATAAATGGATAAAAATGCAGCAAAGAGGGTTTGGGTTATCCTGGCACAGTCCGGCTGGTTATGCTCTGTGCTGTTTATCTGAAGGGATTCAGGGTTATCGCCCTTTGTTCCGCCATGTGGTCAAGCGAAAAGCGCGCTCTTCGAGCATGTATAAGAAATACAGTTTGTCTCAAATTATGTAGCAAGCACTGTGTTGAAAGTACATTGTATGTTTTAATTCTACCTCTTGGAATTCATTATGATGTATATTTGTCAATAACAAAGTGTCAGTTGGTCATATAGTCTCTGAATTTATGAGTATCTCAGTATTCAATTTCTAATCGGCTTGCCAAGGGCCTTTTAGGGTTAGACTAATGCTGATTGTTTCTCAGCTCGACACGTAGCGATTCTCGCTCTGATTTTGCTTGGTCCTGCTGTATGACTAGTCATTTGTTAACGTGTATAAACAAATATATACGTCCGAAGGTTTTGCAGGTTTCATTATATGAAGTATATATGCTCATCACTCGATATCACTTTTACGACAAGCATAGTCGCCTTTTACGGCAAGCATGGGTACCCCGGATCTTCACATTTTTTTTATTGTTGGTAGTTTCCAATAAGTTAATATCGTCCAAGTCGCGGTTATTTTTTGCCTTTCAGCACTTTTCTATAGCACACAAAAGAACAAGGATATCAATTGTCCTTATTGATACAACTGGGTGTGAAAGATTAAGTTAAGTGTTAAAAATCATATGGGTACAAAACAGGGCTGACTTTTCGCAGCCATGTTTTACCCGACATTCGTCACCTCTCAAGAACCTACTAAACTGTATAAACATTGCCTTCTATCCTGTATATACACTTGTCAACCATTCTCTGGACATCACTTGCTTTAAAACGTCGCTCCTAATTGTAAGGAGTTGTTCATCCATATAGCTTATCCTTATTTGTTTAAACCAGTTCATGGGCGCAAATAGACCTTTTATATTGCCTAAGTGGCCCTATACATAGATCCCCAACCAGCCAACCAGTTCATGGATTTGCTGGACTCAATAGAACGTATTGAGTTTGTGTTTCCGTGCAAGTGATCTCTGTAGAGCATCACCTTCTAGGTTTCAGGCCTTTTCAACTGCTGTTGTGTTTCTACTTCTGAGGCAAGTTCAGATTGATCTTCCTCATTCACGGAAAAAACTGAAATTTTAACTGAGAGTACTTTTTGTAACAACTGATGCATTCGTCGTCACAGCGTCGGCTGGTGACATAACCAGCATGTGTGGGAAGAATACACGGGAAGAATACACGAGGAATTCTGTCTTCAGGAGATTCGTATAACAGATTTATTAAACAATCGTTATTGCTGAATGCCGAGAAGGGTATACTGTATTCAGTCCAAACACATCTCCTAAAAGTATCCATAATGGCCGCATATTAAATACAGCCAGTCCTTTCAAATCTGAATTTGAAGGGGCGGTCGGGTAGCCTAGTGGTTGAAGCGTTCGCTCGTCACGCCGAAGACCCGGGTTCGATTCCCGACATGGGTACAATGTGTGAAGCCCATTTCTGGTGTCCCCCTCCGTGATATTGCTGGAATATTGCTAAAAGCGGCGTAAAACCAAACTCACTCACTCACTCACTCACTCACTGAATTTGAAACTAGTGTCAACAAACAAAAGTATACATAAAATAATGCATGGTTAGTGGCTTTTGTGACTTATTTTCCTGTACATGCATTCTTTTCACAAACTCTGTAGCAACATATTATCATGTCGTTTCACAAACAATTATATTTCAACCAATCACGTCGTAGTACGTGATCACGTGAGATAGCGAAAGCGAGGTCAGAGTCAGTGCGATTAACGAGTTCCAAAGTTAGACACGGTTGATTTTACTCTGACAATTCGAGGTATAAATCTACGTCAATTTCCACTCATCGTGGTACAATTACCAGTTGAGTAGGGTTGTGAAGCCTCAAAGTGATACAATTATCATTTGAGGGTAGCAGTGGCCTGGTTGTGAACCAGCACGAGTCTCGACTTGAGAGAAGCCCTAGGGAGCGAGCCCACCCGCCCGCCATTATGGCATCGGAGAAGCTGCAATCAGCTGTAACCTCTCCGAACTGTGACCTAGTTGGAGAAATCCTCAAGGGGTCGGAGATGTCCAGATCTCAGTCTAGCTGTGGCCAGAGGACAAAATCTCAGAAATCTGCGTCCCGTCCAGAGTGTGGTGAGAAGCCTACAGACCCAGAGTCAAATACCAGTGGTATGCACAGCAGTGCGCGTGACAGTACCAATATGGCGGCGGATCGGCCCGCAGAGGAGAGGCCGTTAACACAGGAATATCTGCTCTCACAGATGATGGCTCAAAGTATGCACACTCAGCAACTGATTGTTGGAATGTCGACCTCAATATCTCAGTTTGGGGATACCTTCACAAGGTTAATGCAAAATAATGTTGAGAAACGCCCAGCTCAAGATGTGCTCGATGCCTCCAGATTGTCGAAAATTCGGAGATCTGGTGACGATCCTTGTGTAGATGCTTGTGAAGGATCTGATCACAGTGAATATGAAGCAGACTTAGAGGATCTGTTTGATGATGCGCAGTCCACTCAGAACACTGTTCTTACTGCACGGTCCCTTCAACACAGCCACACCTCAGCCCCTGATCTGTCTCAAGTCGTGTGTGACGACGTTGGTTCAGGTGACACAGCAGAAGATGGGGACATTCTTGATTCACTGTTTGAGGATTATTCTTGTGAGGGCCAGGTTGGGCCTCCCATCAATTCAAAACTAGCTGCTGGTATGAACAAGATGATGTTCCAGAAGATGGGTGATGAAAAATTCAAATCCAAAACTCAGGCCTATGACAGACCCAAGAACTGTGATATGCTACAAGCAAGCGAAGATAACCCAGAAATCTGGGGCAGATTGCGGGCACACACCAGGTCTAATGACATCAAGATGCAGAAGCTTCAAACCTGCCTTATCACAGCTACAATGCCAATTTTACAACTGACTGACACAT